GGAACCGGCATCACTTTTTAGTCTCAATTTCCCCAACCCAAAAATGTTCCATCTTACGCCAGTCTGAAAGATTCCTGACTTCATTAATGCGGAAGGGTCCATATTTCGCCAATCTGAATATGTTCAGGTTTCGCCTATACGGAAGATTCGCTTTTTTGTAAACCTGGAAAAGTCTTTATTTCATTGATCCGGAAGGGTCATACTTTGCCAATCTGGAAAGGTCTCAATCCGAAAGGGGTCATACTTCGCCACCCCGGAGGAGTTCATATTTCGCAATCCGGTAGGGTGCTTATTTCGCAATCCGGTAGGGTACCAAACTGGAATGGCTCCAAACTTTTCGAACAGTAGTATCAGGAAAGAAACCCTCTACGTTCCGAAATTGTCGTTCCGAAAGGGTCAAAAAATGAACCCTTCACCCTAGGTAAATGAAACGTCGTCCCGGAAGGGTCGGAAAACCGATCCATCACAATATGAAGAGCGGAAAGTAGTGACAGAAAGGCTTAGTGAGAACACTTAACCTCATTTTAATAAAAAGTGTTTAAAAGAAGATTACAGAAAGAGTAAAACATAATATGAGATAATAATTGAATCCGGAGATTAGCAAAGTTTTGTCAAAACATCAGTAGAAACAGACTTTTGACATTCTTTGGATAGTAATTCGAATCAACTTTTCTTAGGCAGAGTCGTTGTCCTGAGAAATTTAGTAGGACTAGCTCGGGCAATCTGGAGGCAGATAAGTAGAGACGAAGTCGGTGGATGGTTGAGGTTACCAAAATTTCCTTCAAAACTTGTCTGCATAGTGCTCAACTGAACAAGTTGAGCAGACTAGATGCCACACTCTGTTTTGACAAAAAAATGTTTAAAATCTCAAACCGGATAGCTAAACTTCTATCTTGCTAACCCATTTGAAATCATCGTATTTTTCTGGCATTTTTTAAGGGTCAATTGCTTGCTTGTGTGCGTGAATTGGATGAATAAATCACTGATCTTAAATTTAACCCCCAATTCGCTCTAGAACCTTAATACACTATAGAATCTCAACGAGTTGTATTAGTATTAACTATTAAGTTTTGGCACACGGATATCAACCACGGTAATAGCATACAAGTTATCCGACACCAGCTACTGTAAAAAATTTTGTCTGACAGAATTGAAGGAGTCGTGTTACTGCAATTTATTGATAAAAAATACGAGAAGAAAAAAAGAGACGAGTGGTTTAATCAGGCACAGGGGAGTGGCCGGGATTTCCACTAAAAAAAATTTTGAAAAACGAAATTTTTTTTACTGTTGTACAAAGCGTCTTAAAAAAAATGTAAGACAATGACCTCATACACTTTCATAGTACCTTTTTTCCCTTAAAAAGTAATCGAGAAATGACGAACAGTTCCCAAAAAAACTGTTAAAAACAAGACTTGATTTTTCTGAGGGCAACAACTGTTTATTTAAAACATTGGGCGTAGATGAGGAAAAATTTTACGCGACCTGTGGTTTTATTAAACCCAAACACTCTAAATTTGGAAGGGTAGTTCTCGAAAAAAATCAAAAATTTTCAAAAAACGGACAAACATCAAATTTCGATTTTTCCGTGGGTCATCTGTTTCGAGTAAAAAATTGGGCATAGTCCTTTATGCAAAGGAGCTTCTGAAATCCGTTCCTTTCACTGAAGCCAAAATTTCTGATTTGTTATTGCAGCTTTGAGAAAATTTAGATTAAAAAATGGATCAAATGCCCCCACATTTTATTCCGAAGACTTTTGACAGAGGGGTACAAAGAAGAAGACTAAAAGTGTATACATGCAGATAGGGAAGTAGAATGACTATCCATTGATCTTCCCTTTTTGAAAATCAGTTGAATAGTTTTCGAGAAGAAGTATAATTTTGGCAAAAAGTTAAAAAAAAACTTCAGAGCGTCAGAAAAAGTAGAAAAAAATCGATCCCTTAACAACTTTTCCAAAATACCTGTTTTTATAGAACAGAAATTTTAGGAAAACCTGCCGAGCAATTTTATTTTTAAATTAGCAACGGAATAAAACTTATGAAGCAGAAAACAGGTCGGCAATCATTGAGCAGACAAAAAATAATTTTGTAAAAAAATTGTTGAAAAGTTTCACGTCTCCAAAAGCATATATATCGAACAGCATACATTTTGAACAGAATACATAATGAACAGCATACATTTTGAACTGCATACATATTGACACACTTGCGATAAAAAACAACAAAATCCAAAAAACTTCAAAAATCTCGAAAAAAATGTCATCTATCATAATGAAGGATGCTAGTTTTAAAACAAAAATGTGAAATTACCGTGGAAGATATTTTACCAAGCAGTAACAAAAACCTTGACAATAGCCTTTTTTTTAAGCCGAAAAAAATCAACAATACTTAGGACATGAAAAGTCCCCTTTGCGTTCAAAACAATCACAAACATTATTTGCACGTCAAATGAAACAACATGAGACAACTAATTTGACATAATATAGCCTAAAACCTAAGAAGTCCAAAAAAACGAAAACGAAAGTAAAGACCAATAAGAAGTTGTTAAGCCCATTTCGCAAACTTGCACACACTTTTTTTGCGCTTATCAAAGGACGCAGTATGAGACCAATACGCCCATATAAATTAGCCCGAAACCTATCAAACAGAAAAAAGAAAAACCCAAAAAAGCAATAAAAAATTGTTGTCATGAAAAATTTCAATAATAATTTCTAGTATGATGTTTAGCATTTTGTTCAATCCACAGATGAGCAGAAAAAAAATGAAATAAAGTTGCTTTTAGATGATATGAGCAGGAAAAATTATGCTTCCTTTGAAATATCTTAAAATTAGGTCCTTAAGCCGATAAAAATAATTAGCCGAAAGATTTTGGACTGAATAAATTAAAAAAAAAAACAAAAAAAAAGAATTGTATTCGATGTCGAGATTAAAAAATACAAAAAAAACAGCAGAGGGAAATAAGAACACTAAAAGCAACTACATTGTTTAAAAAACTAAAATTCAAATCAGCGATTAAGTTGGATGGTGAAAACAAAGTGGAAAATAAGCCGACAAAAATTAAACCGGAAGAGACGAAGTCGAAATTTCAAAACAGTACCAAAGAAAACCCATTTAAAAAAATTGAACTGCGAGTTATTAGACTAATGCTAATAAGGATACACAGTGGGAGTAATAGACCAATGAGCGCAAAGAAACAACGCACATACTGCATGCATGTCGTGTAATGCATTCAGCTGAAATCTGTGGACACAGTTGCTTACGGAAAAAATGTCTAGTACCCGGTTGCAATACACATGCTATCGCAAGGGTAAACAGCATACATATTGAATAGCATACATATTGAATAGCATACATATTGAACAGCATACATATTGAACAGCATACATATTGAACAGCATACATATTGAATAGCATACATATTGAACAGCATTCATATAGAAAAAAGGTCCGACCGTGATTCAAACCCCAGAACTTCTGGTGCAAATCCGAAGAGACCTTGAAGTTGTTCAGTTTTAAAAACAAAGCAAGTTGAAAATTTCTTAGAAAAGTTAGTGCAGGAAAAAAAATAGTTTCTTACAACATGACTTAATTTCGCATGTTTAGTATAATGATCAATTTTTCGTCAATTTTCTGTTTTTATTTGTTTCAACCGAAACATCTACGCGACATTGTGTTTGGACTGAACCGTTTTCATAATTGTTCCGACCGAAAATGGGGAATTCCTTCGTGTTCGGGTGTTTTAGTTTTTTGTTTTTTGTTTTTACGCAAAGTTGGGTACCGCAAACATGCCGGAAGATTTCGATTGATAGTTGTTGCAGCCGTAATTCGAAAACCATTTTAAATATCTAAAGAGTTCTTTAATGCAGAGAAGAAGCATGCAGAGAAGAAACACGCAGAGTAAAAGCATGCAGAGAAGGAGCATGATTTTGATTGTTGGTCTAATTTAGAGCGAATGAAACGAGTGAGGTCTGTAATCCGAATTGTTTTTTTTTCGATTAAGTTTTATTTTGAACTGTTGTTAAACATGCGTATTTCACTCTTAATGTCGAATGTACTAGGCCTTCGCTGAGCTGCTCTTATCTGAACGAATAAAAACATCAAAATTGGAAAAACGTTATGTATGTTTTATTAATTTTTGGTCGGAACATTCTGTGCTACTTGCACAGCAATCATCTACCCTTTTTTTATTTTGAGTTTGAATGTGTTTCGAATTTGAGTTCGGCTTCAAATTTTGACTTTCCAATTGGCTGTGTTTTGAGCTTATGTTTCAACAGATTCGAAATTTTGTTTCGTCTTTGATTTCAATATTAGGCCCTTTTTGGCCGAGAAATTTTGGTCGTGAACTGCCATGGGTTAGAACCGTTTTCTGTACCCCTACATAACGGACCTCGACAAGTGCTCTTTTTCAACTGGCAATGTAAATCATATCATAACTTTTCCCGTATATTTTTAATTGTTCACACTATGTGGTTGTAGTGAAAGGATATTTAGAGCTATGAAGTACTGAATCAACTGTTTAAAAAACAACTAATTTTGTACCCAGTAGCGAAAATTTACCCTTTTGTAAAATAGGGGGAAATTCTTAAAGAGATCCGAACCAACAAGCTGACAGAAATGATGCAGTATAACATACAGGGGCGGATTTAGGGGGGGGGGGGCGGACGCCCCTTCCTCAGGGATTCGACCCCCTGCCGACCCAAAGGGTCCCCCCTTTGATACTTTTTCAGAAATTCATTTTTCTAAATGGCCTTTGGCGCCAATATATACTAACTTTGAGGGGGAGCGCGCGCCAAAAAAAAACGCACTTTTTTTGTCAAAATTTTTCAAAAAGTGCCCAAAATAGGGGCAAAACAGTGGTTTGGGAGCTCAAAAAAATTTTGTCGACCTAAAAAGAAAAAGGTCGTCGAAACTTTCGATTTTTTTTTTGAAAATCCGCCCCCCCCCCCCCTCGAGAAAATCCTAGATCCGCCCCTGATAACATATAAATTTAAAAATCATCGGCTTAAAAACTTCAAATAGTGTGATAGCTGTTCAAATTAATAATAGTCCAATCAAATCTAAATATGTAATTTTTTAAATCAAAATACCAATGATGCTCAGTCAGTCTTTGAAGATAGCTCCGAGTAATACCGATTTTTAGAAGATCTCACGTTTTGTTAGTCTTTTATCTGGCTCGACTTGCCGATCAAACATGGTTCTGACATCCTACAGTTCAGGTTAGTAACTTTACTGTTAATTTTTTGTCATTTCATCTCGATTACGATACGTTGAAATATTTTAGCGGCTCTGCTTCGGTACACCGTTTTCGTCTCTGTGCACACTTTTGTGCGTCTTCTGCTTGTAGGCCGTGATATCATTCCTCCTATTGGCCAGCCAGTCGATCCATACATTCGAGGCGTCAATGCTCACTTGTCCTGTTAGCCGAGAGATCTCGTTCACGTGTCGGTTCTGGAAGTACATGGAATCCTCTTTCGTTTTCAGAGTGGCTTCTTCCTTTTGACTTTCCGATATTTCTTGAAACCTTTCTTCCTCAGGTGGAATCGTAATGTCACCTAAAGCACAAATGAATTGTGTCTACATCGCATGCCATCAATACTTTTATGGGTGCAGCCAACTATTCGAACCGTCCGGCAACCGAATTAAGCCATTCGAATCGAATTAACCCAAAACAAATTAGGCCGATCGAACCGAGTTAAGCCAACTGTTCGAACCGTCCGGCAACGGCAAACACATATTGAACAAGCAGACCAAAAAAGTTCAACCGCACTGCTCAATGCTGAAAAAAGAACACTTTTCTAGGCACTTTTTGTACGTTTGGCTATGAGAGGATCTGAACAAGCTTAGAAAATAAGTATATTCGATATTAATACGTATATTTGACAACAGTTTAAACGGACTTTTTCCAAAGTTTTGCTAAGTTTTTGATAATATTCCTGGAGAAACCAAATTTTTTACGCCTTATTTAGGTAAAATAAGCCTGCTCGCTCGCTTAATTTGGTCAAAATTAGTCCAAAAACAATTAAAACCAGTTTTTCATAACACGACTGCAAGGGCTTTAATATAATATATCACATGATCACTTCCGAGGATTATTTATCGTACCTGATTTTGCGTGGAAAACACGTACAAAAAAGAAAAACAAAACTAAAACACACCCGACTGCAAAGTTTCTCCTCACTTTCAGTGGTCGGAACAAGCAAGAACAAGTAGATCAGAAGAAGTATAATTTACCTTTGATCACTTTTGCGGAAAAGTGTCCGTGCAGCCAGAACATGGGGAACGAATAGAACTGGTCCTGCATCCCAATGTAGAACACTTTAGGGTTGCGAGGGTGAACGATCTAGTAAAAAAAACATTTGATTCTCAAAACTCACAACAATCAATTCAATCATTATTTTGGCGAGTCTTTCTTATAACTCAAGTTTATAGTTTAAATTAAAACAACCAAAAATGTCTGTAATAAGTTTTTCTAGAAAACCTAGGCTTTAAAAGCAGCATATTTCTCTTGTTACAAGAGATCGAAGTTCGCCACGTCATGTTTTTAAGCAGTCTATAATGCGGCGACCGAAACTCGCACATTTAATACTGTTACAATTGAGAAAAACGCCGCGTCGTAAAAAAATTCAACACCGGCGCGACTAAAAAGTTTTTAAGTTTTCGTAGATGCAGAGTTTGTTCAAATATGTACTATGAACCTGCATGTAGAGCGGTGGCGCCATGCGGTTGCTGCACTCCAGTCGGATGTCACTGTCCAGGAACGGGAATTTGATCAGGTACCCCGTGCACAGAATTATGACGTCATACTCGCCTTCAGTTCCATCCATAAACCTAAACAATTTCGTATACAATTGTTTCAAAAAAAAACAACCGCTCCAGAGTCGAACACCTCATACAAACCTAACAGTGCTTCCTTCCATTTCCTTAATATATGCTTTCTGGTCTATTCCTTCTGGCCAGCTCCTAGTGTCAATGGGTCGTGTTCTGTGAGACATGGACACACGTTCGGCACCAGACTTCACCGCCTGCAGTGCCATATCCTCGGCCGAGTAAGAGGACCCGACAGTCACGATTCGTTTGCCTAAGAGTGTTACATTCAAAACAGTTTAACACTCGTAATTCCGAGTACGCACAAATAAACAGTTCTATTGTTCCGGGACGTCATTCGAACACCCCTCATCCTCACACCGTTTTAGGCGCAGCATATTACCTTGCTCTTGTCCCAATAGAGATACAATCATCGAAAGTGATGAGATACAACTCTCAGTTTTATCAAGTAATATAATAGCAGCGGTAATTTGGAAGCAAAACCAACAAGCTCAGTCGATCTGCTCATCAAACTATTAACCAAATTAACAAGGATAGTCGGTTACTGTGCAAGTAGCACAAAATGTTCCGACCATGGTCTTTAGAAAACTACGGTTTAAAAAGTTTTTTTTTCAAAATAGTGTAGCTTTATTGCTTGGTGTAGTAAATAGAGACCTGACGTAAAAATATAATTTAGGCACATTAGACAGTGATAGTAATATAAGCAAATTGGACAAAAAATTTTGCAGAAATATGACTAGAAAAAAACTTTGGTTTCTGAAATGAAGCTAAAAAACTCCACAAATTAGTTTACTAGCTTATAAATTAAATTATATGATCTTAAGTTAGGCGTAATTCAGCTGTTGTAAGCCTAATTGCTTGCTTGGTTCGCTTGAATTAAGAAAAAAAGTCAAAACTTTCAAACCAATTTTTTCTCAACACTGGGAAAAATTTTTGGACATTTTTTCAATTGGTTTGAATTATGACTGAAAGTGTTTTAATATGATAAATCACTCAACCCAGTGTGATGCTTTTCTGTGGTACTTGATTTTGCGTGAAAAACAAAAAGAAAAACCTAAACACCCGAATACAAAGTTCCTCCCCATTTTTTAAATGATCGGAAAAATAACGGAGAAGGAAAATTTAGCGTTTTCAATCTGTCTCACATAGCTTGCGTCTTATTATCTATAGATTTCGTGGTGTACCATAACGTATAAAACTTCAGATAAGTCCCGAAATGTGGTGACCTATATCGAACACTGACTACCGTGCAAAAACATCCCGCTGCGTCACCGGAGAAGAGGTGTTAAATTTGGGATGAATTGAGCAATCACCCCACCCTCTCCCATGTTTTTAAAAATGTTCTTTTAAACCTACGTCTCACCTTTAAACCTGTTTGCATCCAAGAACTGTTTTGAGTGGATTATCTGCCCAGTGAACGAATCTTGTCCCGGGAAAGAAATCATGTTTGGGTAATTGAAGTGTCCCGTGGCCACAATGACGTAATCGAACGGCTCTTTGTCTCTCGTCTCTTTCGCTTTCAGATCCCGACTGGTGACTTCAAACTTACCCGAAGCTGAGTCATACTTGACCCAATCCACCCAGCTGTTGAATCGGATGTACTTGGCCAGCCCGTACTTTTCCACGTATTCATTGAAATATTTCAGGTAGTAGACACGATCGGGGAAAGAATGATAGCCTGAAATGAAAGTTTTTGGCTGCCATAACCAATTGTTGCCAAGCATTTTTGACCAAAAACTGAAATTGATTAATTAAGTGAATAGTCATGTGAAAAGCGTTTTTCAGTTGAGCCGAAAATTAGAAGGCTAATTTAATGGAAACTTAAAAACAGCAAAAACAAAAGATAAAGGAGGAAAGCGACTGTGAAAGTAGCACCTGCTGTTCCAATGACACGTCCTTTTGCAAACACTCGTAAACATGCAAAAAAGAACCACTTTTCGAAATCGAAGCGATGTCATTTTTTGAAGTGAGATCTTAAAAGGACACATGAGAAACATAATGTTGTATCAGTCAAATTTTCTGATAACGATTGATACATATATAATATATTCAGTCCTCCAACACTTGCCCTAGAAATGAGCTTTAGTGCTCCGACTGCCAGAAGTACTTCGGGTTCTTGTGTGCTTTATTCGCAAATTCAGGTAACATTGAAAAGGTTTGAATATAACACGCTGAATCCCTTTTAGTAGTTATTTGCGCTGAAAACAAAAAGAAATTTTTCGCGTTTGTGTTAGTCAAAACACTTGTTTCAAAATTTGTTTCGATTTTAGTAAGTGCCAAAGAAAGTCCAAAATTGCCAATAAAAACTTTTCACCAAATTTAAAAAAATCTAAGAACTTGTTTCAAATGGTAAAGCTTTTTTGGTTGAAACAACCTGCAGTGTTTATAAAAATATTTTCACAAAATGGTCAAAAAAAGCATAGCGAGAGGTAATTTTTTCCCTTGAAACAAAGTTATTGAATTTAGCATATTTTGGTTCAGCTTTTGCTTTTGTCTGATTTACTCTAGCAGATTTGCTTCAGGAACTTTAAAACTTTTATTCCGACGGCCTCATTTAATAAACGAGAAATAACTTTGGCCTGGACTGTATTTTTTCACGCAAAATCATGTACCTAAAAAATTACTCGATGAGGCAGTTTCATAATTTCTTTGCATTAACTATTGCGATGTATTTATCATATGTGACTGTCACAACATCCGGTAATCGTTTTTCTCATTGTTTTCTGGACTGTAACAGTTTGCACAGAAAGTGCTGATCAGACAACCAATTCATCGTTAAAGTATTCCGCTTGAAATTCAACAAATTTTTTATAGAGAAGGAAGAAACACAACTCGTCAATGGTGACTAGACTATCGATGACTTGAGCGACTTGAGGCTTCCTTTTTGCAATAGGCAGCAAATTTTTGCAAAATTCCAATAATATATTTTATACAGTTGGATTGTGTTTTGCTCGCGCATGCTATTACGGTTCTATAGTGCTGATTTGAAATAATCGGATGAGAAGAAATCAATTTTTCAGACTTGTTTCTCTCAAATTCGTTGAAATTTGGACAAAAAATGATGATAAAAATTTCTGAAAATTGATCCGGCTTTTTTTCTGCCTTTCATTTTTCAAAAACTCACACCAAAAACTTACCCTCAAACGGGGCAGCAGATTTAGTTTAAAATTAGGGAGTGAAACAAATTCAATAGTAGTTTCTTTTACGTCAAATTATCCTGTTTCAATTCCTAATTTTGAACCCAATCAGTTGACCCGTTTTGAGGGTAAGATTTTGATTGCATTCAAAAGATCTCTAGTTTCATTTTAGATTTCAAAAAACGTTGTAAATCCCTTTCTTTAAAGTAATCTGATAACCAAACACAAGCTTGTTTTGTAAAATTACCTCGAAGTACCATATCAGCCGGTATTTTATAACTCAACCTTGAAAAAAATTAGTTAACAAAAATAAAGCAAAAAAGATTCAAAATAAAGTTTTTTTTTTAAAATCTGAAAAATTAAAACCATGATTTTTGTACTAATTTAGGCGGCAAAAACTCTAAATGAGTAGGTTTTAAGAATCAATAGAAAATTAAAGCTTAACCAAAAAAGTTTTAAGGCACTACAACACTTACTTTTTACACCTCTGATTTTGCGAGGTAGTCAAAACTGTCAAAAACAAAACAAATCCTCTACAATTATTCCTTCTAAGCCCTAAGAGGTGGTCAGAACAAAAACAAAATGAAGTTTTTTACACGGTCGATAAAACTTGAGCGGACAACTTTTGTTATAATTTTTTAATTTTCAGGAAAAAATTCTAAGCTAATTATTTCAACTTGAAAAATTCCTTATAAACCGCAAAAATACTACGCAGTGAGTTCCCTGTAAAAACAATAATTTCTCGAGGTTGTTTTTATTGCAAGACAAATCTCTCCAACTAGCAAAAGATCTTACAGTTAGAAAAATTTTAGCTCAAAATTTTAAAAAAAACGAATGTCATGAGCTCAAAATCTAACTTAATTTTTATGACCAAAAAGCTTTGATAATTGTCAAGTTCAGCTGACTGATTCCAGCAAAACTATTGAAATTTATATTTTGACGGCTCCATTTTGGGAAATAATTATGGCTCGGACTGCAAAACCATGTAACTGAAAATTGAATGTGTTATTGCTCAAAAACCATTTCAGCTAAATCTCAGAAACCGAAACAAAGTTACAAAATCACCCAATGTGTAAAAAACTGATGAAGAGCGGAAAATACTAAAAAGTCCATTTTTCAACATTGAGACCTTGTTTCTTGTTTTTCTTTTTTTTAGAATCAAAACTAAGACTGAAATAATTTTTAGGCACCACAACACTAACTTCTTACACTTCTGATTTTTTATGAGGTATTCAAAATCATTTTAAGCAAAACAAATTCTCCGTGCGTGCTTTATTTTATTCCTATGAGGTGATTAGAACAAAAAGGAAGCAAAGTAACTTTACACGGTCGATAATAATTGCCCCCTGAATGATCCACGGCCCCGCGATCTGTTGTTTCTGTAACCTCCTCGAATGGCCCCCACTGGTTCCGTCTTGATTTGGAATGCTCCAGCTCCACCGGTAGTGCCACTGGTTCCTCCCCCGGTTATCGATCCGTATGACTTTGCATATTTATATCCGCGTTCGTATGACCGTGCAATACGGTACACCTCCTCTGGCGTCTTCGTCGAGCGGCATAACTCATTTTGGGCCTCCCTATTGTTCATGTTGACGATGAACACATCCCGCAAAATCCTGGTCTCCAATGCTCCAAAATTACATCTAGCGGCCAACCCGCTCAACACTGAGTGGAACTGTTCTAGCGATTCTCCTATTTGTTGCTTCCGTGCCAAGAGTTGGAATGTCTCGTACGTTTCGTTTCGTTCATTTCTAAATTCGGTTTCAATGGTATCCAAAACTCGAGAATACCTTGTTGCAGATAAGTCCAGGTGTGGTTTTCTCTTATGCAGCTCATCCTGTCCTTTCTCCCCCAGACACAAGTACAAGTTGGAGATAAGCACTTGTTCCGAAGCTAGGCGATTCTTCCCGTCTACCTCCTCTGGTAAATCTGTAATCTGCGCTGCAGTTAACGTACTGGCATAATAGAAATTCCTAGGATTTAAACTGTGTTTTGCCACCATCCCCCATTGAAATCGATTGAACCAAAACTCCCATAGCATCGGTGGTTCTGCAAACGTCGAGGGCCAAAACGATGTAATTCCCAGTGGGTTTTTCCCCCCACTTTGGCCTGTTGGCTGCGCCATGTGAAAAGACGGTTTCGAAGTGTTAATTAAATTCCGTTTGTTAAGCAACCGTATTTCATAAAGTAAGTCGGAGACAATAGAATAGCTGTCATCCGAAGGTGACAGACACTCCGAAGGTTAAATACCGGTTAGCGCCAGACAGATGATTAAAATAGATAACACAACTCGAATTGAAACATGAACTAAATTTAGATACTATGACAGAGCTTTTTTGTCATTTTGTCAGTATCAGGAAAACGTTCTAACCGATTAATTCTGAATTGGAGCATTCGTTGCAAGTTAATTGCAAAAAAAGTAAGCTGTGAGTTCCTTGTGAAAACAAGTCTTTGCTCGGGGTGGTTTCCTTGAATCAAACCTTTTCAATTATCATTTGTTTTAAAAAAACTTACAGTCTAATAGTTTTGATGCTTTGATTTCAAATATATAAAACTGATGTCATGAGCTCAAAACTGTTGATGATTTTTGGCCAATAAAGGGTTTGATAGTTGTCAAGTTGGTCAGTTCGGGATAACTATAGCGCGCTCACCAGGGTTGAAAGCGGCAGCTTAACCTAACTTAGAAGCTGTTTCAATCTGTATTGAAGCAAAATATTTGGTTCAAGTAACACTTTACTACATGGAATGCATCTCATCTTGCTTTTAAGAGTGGGGAAATATACAAAAAAACAAATTTAATGTATTTGAACTTTGTTTTTTTTTTAATCAAAATTTTCTTCTGATACTTGAAATAGAAAACGGGGCAATCAATTGTTTGCCCTGATACGAGCAGTATTGTTTGATAAGTTTCTTTACAATCAAGCAGCTACGCAATTAACTTATTGAGATGCCTCTGAAGATGATAGTTTTTGCATCTTATAATTAAAAGATAACTGTGCAAGATCATTTTAAGCGTATTCTGTTAGACTAGCTAAGTCTTAAGAACGCCGGAAAAAAGGCTAGCTAGGAAAATATGGTCTTTTCTACTTCCTCTCTTAGAAAGTAAATAAAAAAACAAGACTACTCGTACCAGGGCGAGGCCCTGAATAATCCGACTGCCTCTTAAGGTCTATGGAGCAGTAATAATATGGAAAAATTAAATGAAATAAAACAAAATGAAAAAAAAAAGATTCTTAAAATTTGAATTTTTTTGATGAAAATCATCCCCCCCACACGCCATATAAAGTACAAAAGGATAGATTTCGCTCCTTGTAACAAATCGATTATAGCAAAAAGGCTATTTGCAACCAATTTGGAACGATTTCTAACACGGATTAGCTCTCCGCTTACAGGTTAATAGCGCAAAATATATCGCGCGTTAATTGTCCCAAATTGGCCAAATCGCCTATCTTTAAACCCCCGTCACTTTATGAAAAATGATCACAGGTGAAATATCTTTTCAAATTCGAGCTCAGGACAACAATACCTTTCGAATGATATAAAAAATTCCGTCAAAAATGGCTAGTTAAAAAGTCAAAATTTGTCCGAAGAAAAAAAACAAAACCCCGAGCACAAATATTCCGTTACTTTCGTATCGAAAGTCGGAACAACAAGGCCATTGATTTATTTTAACTCTTAATTAAAGTCAGCGATCAGTGAATGCCGCGTCTTATTTAGACAACTAGAATGATGAACTAAGTCACTATTCTAAAAAGTAGATCAGTTTCGAAGGGCTGGGATGAAACTGAGATACATTCAACGGAATGGATAAGTGTAGTTTTCAGCCCCCTTTCAAAATAAGTTTTGACGATCGGAGCAGAGTTGACGATCGGAGCATGCTTTTTATCCAATCAGGGGCCAAAGAAGGCAAACAATAGTTTGGAGAATGCCTTAACCAAGGGTTGCAAATTTCTATAAAGCAATTTTTCAATCGCAATTTCTTTCACTGCCGTTATATTTAATGAGAAATTGAAATGAGAGTTGGCGGCGCTCAACATGCAGCATTTGGTGGAAAAGGTCCCATTATTGCAAGAGGTTCAAAAAAAAAGTTTCTTGTTCAATTCGAACTCAGATCAACTCACCAGTGAGGTCTGGATCAGAAAGAGGGAACAGGTGGTCTGGTATTTCCTGGGCTTCCTTGGGACCATTGCTGATGAGGCTGTAGTACATTCCGCTGTGCACCTCAAGCCCATCCTCTTCCACTCCTTCCTTGGCTCTGCAAAATCACAAAAAAAACCTATTGTTTTTCAACTTTTTTCTTCGCCCAACTGAATTGCAAGCTGTATCAAAAAAGGGGCAAAGAGGGCTCAATAGTTCCTCTAAGAAGCCACTGATGGCATATTTCTTATACAAAAAAAAACGTTTCTAATATGATTTTTTTTGAATTCGAAAACTATGTGTCTGCATCCAAAAGCTACGATATCTACGCACATAAGACTGCAACAGCTTTGGTTTGTTTTTGGGTCAAAATATTGCTTGAATTCATGTAAGGAGCATGGTTAACGGTACGTTTTGAACAACTAAAGTCTATAAACGTGTCTCTTATAAAGACTGCCCCAACATCTTACAAATAAATATGCAAGAAAAAATTTTTAACTTGAGAAATTCCTAATTTAAACTTGAAATTTAGACTGCGTTCCTCGTGAAAATTTTTAATTGAATGCATCTAATTTGCACTGTTAATTCGCAAACCTGAAGTTCCAGATGCCCCCTATGCGATCATATCTTTCGAAGCACACAACTTGGAATAAGTTTTCGTCCAGATGGGCCTGCAAGGCTCTGAGGGTAGTGATTCCCCCAGGACCCGCTCCGATCACACAGACACGAGTCTTAGTACCAAGGGCAGCCATTCAGTGATCAGTATCGCTTTGCAGTATTTGGAAATTCTCGCTAAAGTGAAAGTTTTATGGTAACAAATTGCGAAACTAACACTAAGAAACAAAACAAATTTGACATACCAGCTTAAATTTGACCTTCGAGCCGCTGGTTCGAACTAAAAAGCTTGAGAGATGAATGTCACTGCAGAAGTTTATTATCAGGTAAAAAACAGTGTTGTATAGAGAGTAGCAAAAAGTTCGAACAGACAGAATTAATTAAAAAGAGCAACTGTCCAGAAATTAACGGAAATTAAAACTGAAATAAACATAACGTCGAAAGTTCATAAAGCAGAGTTACGGGATCTACTTAACAATCCCCCTTTAAAGAAAGGGGAGGAAATCGTTAATAGGATTACTTGCAGCGAACTTCCGACCAATCAGAAAGCAGCAAAAATCAAATTTACATACAATGCTGTAGTGCAAATTTAGTGTTTTCATTTACAGGGGTGGAGATTCGTTAGTAAATACAACAAGGGGGGAGATTGTTAAGTAGATCCGAGTTTCGCTCAAAACCTATAACCACGGCGGGCAATTGCATCCGAAGCGTCGAAATAATTTATAGTAAAATCTGGATGTTCATCGCAGTATTTAAGCATTAGTTAATCATGATTAATTAATTAGAAAGGGGTTTTTAAACTTCAACTTTCTTTAAATTTCTAGATTGTGGAATGAAAGTTTTGTAATCTTTTCGTGGTTGATTTCTGAGTCGTGATGATTTTCGTTGTTGAGATTTTTTTGTTTCTTGTGATAAAAATTTTTTCTTCTGATTTTTGATTTTTTCTTTGTTTTTGAGGTATTTGTTTTTTGCTTATTTCTTGAGATTGTAGTCGGGTCTTTTTAATTTTCAGTCGGGTCGAGGACAGCTTTGAGTCCTGTAAAGGAGTATAACTGCGTTAGTTCGCGAAGAGCATGTTCTTTTGTGTAATATGGTAAAAGAATTTTTCTGTGTTGAACTATTGGGACAAATGTTCCAATTTTTAGGTTTGTAGCTGGTGTGAATCGTGAATTTATATGTGATTGAACATTCTGTCTTAGTAAAAGTTTTTTTGGCTATTTTCTGATAACCTTCATTGTGTTTTTTATTTCTATTTAAAATCCATTCGGTATGTGTGCAGGAAGCTAATTTCAAGATTTGTGGACGATCAAAGTGATCTTCATCGTGCGTGTGTAATGGTAAATAAAACAAATTGATTCTTTTGTAGGTTGGCATTAACCTTGTGTATTTTTGAAGAGTTGGCTGCGAACTTCATTGGTTTTTGTGGCTTTTGACTGAAAACCGTATCATAAGGTGATAGTCCTAGGATTGTTGTTATCTGTGAATTATAAGCTAAACGGAATAAATTTACATCTGTTGACAATTCAGTGTATTTTGTATCATTTTATTTATGATACATCTGAGGTACTCTTGTAAGGAACGGTTCATTCCTTTTACTGAACCATTAGTCCATGGGTTATGAGACGTTCGTGGTTTGTGTTTAATGTTATATAGATGGCATAATGTGATGATTTATGTGATGAAATGGCATTTTTTTAGCTGTGCATTCTCTCATAAAGGAAGAGAGTCTAAGTTCAGCTTGTGTAAATAGTCTTGAGTTTGCTGAAACAAAATTCATTTTATTTTTTCCATTGTGTGGTTGTAATAATCCTGAGCCGATGCCGAAATTGGAGGCGTCGCACATAGCATAAAATGGTTGGTCTGGATCTGGAATAGTATTTGATATTTGTTCAGTGAAGAGTGTTTTTGTTTCTTCAAATCTTTTTGGATGATCTGTTGTCCATTCAAAATTATTTTGTTGTCTGAGAATTTTAAAATATGGACTTAAATATAATTGCATTTTATAGACGTAATTACTTAAAAAATTTAGCATTCCGAAAAATTCTTGGACTTTCTTTTTTTTAATGGAAGTTTTAGGATTGCTTCTATGCGAAATTTTAATGGAGTGATTGTATTTCCTTCAATAAAATATCCAAAGAATTTTACACGATTGAGGAAAAAAAGTGAATTGTCTAGGGCTGCTTTCATGTTTTTTTAAGTAGTATTCGGTGGTTTTTATCCAATAGATGAAACAATTCGTTAAATAGGTTATGACAATTTTACTGAGAATGAGTGGTCGAAAAATTTTACTCGTAAATGCTGAAAAGGCTGCTGGTCCCATGGAATTCCATTGAAAAGTCTATTAAAATCGTATTGTTGATTTCCAATAACGAATGATGTTAAGCGTCGTGGTGGTTCATCTAGTGACATTTGATTGTATGCGCTTTTCACTCTATCTGTTGTAAAAAAAATTTCAAATTGTTTTTGTGAGAAGTACTTGAATTGGTTCTATGGGTCAATTACATTTAGACTCATCAATGAAGGAATTGAAGTATCTAGCGTGTAGAACGGTTTTTAAAGATTCTCATTTAGCTAGAATAAACACGGGATTTATGAATGTGTTACCTTGTGGTTGTTCTTCATTCTTTACTGGAGAAATGATTTCGCATTCTTCTAATATGTCTAGTAATCGATTGACTTTATCTTGGAATTGGATTGGAATTTTACGCTCATTGTTTTTTGAAAGTTGCGTAAACCATCGGGTATTTAAGTAGTAATTCAGCTAATTGTTCAAATTTTTTTTATGTAATTTGAGAGTGTTGAAAGTTGAACATTGTAAGAAATTTCTGTTGTTGTTTAGTGGTATATTTCGATATTTGAACTGTTGGTTTAAAATAAAATGTTATTAAAATGAGTCTGGGTTTTGTTTTCGATCACTTATTATACTAATAATTGATAATTCTTCATTAAGAATTGTTGATTGGCTTATATCTAATAATTTCAATATATTATTTACTCTATATGCTATTTCTTTTGTTGGAGAAATTGTTGCTTTTTTTTCGCAATAACATAAAAGTCCTGAGGTATGTGATTTTATATGGAGAATTTTTCTATACTTGTACAGAAATCATAACTGAATTTTTATTTTTTGTGTGTTCAATCGACGAGATTGTTAATCGAAAAAAACTTATGAAATGGCTTGAATTCGAGGTCCAACATGTATAGTCGTTGTTTGTTTTGTTTCATATTGTATTGGTGGACTTGATTTATTGAGAAGTTGTATACATATCCTGCTAGTGGTTTCAGGTGTTTTCCTTCTTGGTTATGTATAAGGTAAAATTTGGGGAAAAACGGAGGTTGATTATTTTGTCTTTGAAAGAGTGTAAGTGATGTGTTTTTCATTATTGTATATTTATCCTTTATACGTATTTTGCTATTTAGGATATTAATAGTGGGAACATAATTAATAAAAAAATGGTATTCTAACGATTTTGTGTTTTATATCTGTGATATGGAATGTTTGTTTGAAAGGTTTATTTAAAAGTTCAATTTGTTCCATTTTTCGAGTGGGAACAAGTAGTAATTGAATTTTTCCGAAATTTGTTAAACAGGTTCCTTGTGCCGTAGCTAATTTGGTTGAGGTCTTTGACGGTAAAAATTTTGGATGTAAAGTTTGTATTTCATTCCATGTGGGAATGTTTATAATATTCGATTCTGCTCCTGAGTCTACTTTGTTTTTGTCAAGTGGGTTGGGTCTAGGCAATTTTTGGTGGGGGCAAGACTGAGGGTCTAAGAATTAGCTTTCTAATTTTGTTTTTATTTATTGGATGATCGGGGGTATTCAGGAGTTATTTGTACTTTGGGCTAAATTATCACGTCCAATTTTTACTTTAGGCTAATTTAATACTTCTCCTTGAGAGAAATTTAGAGTGTGAGTTGGGACAAAACTGTTGATCTTTGTACTAGGTGATAGAGGGGACGAATGTAATATCCAGATTTTGTTTATTTCGGTTGTCATATATGAGCTTGTTGCTTATTTTCGACCTGCAGGTCTTTAAGTTATAGTTTCATATATGTTTGGAGCTTGTCTGTGCATTATCAATGTCAGTTTTTACGGCACATTTGCAATCCAATCGTGATGTTGTTTCGTCTTTTGCAAGAAAAAACTTAATATTTTGTGGTATTTCTACTTTTGTTATTCTTGTTAGTAATTTAGGTGGTGTGTTTCTACTGAGTGCAATGGAAGATACTTTCCAGCGGTCCAAACTGTATGTAAGTGTGGGAATTTTATTAGAATTAATTGAAATCAATAAATTTATAGATTGATATAGATTTTTGTGTAAATGGAATAATTATAGGTTTATGATCTTTAAATAGAACTGTTGGATGTTTTGATCCAAGTATTAAAAATTCATATTCTGTGAGAATATATTTTTAGCTGTGCATTCTCTCATAAAGGAAGAGAGTCTAAGTTCAGCTTGTGTAAATAGTCTTGAGTTTGCTGAAACAAAACTCATTTTATTTTTTCCACTGTGTGATTGTAATAATGCTGAGCCGATGCGGAAATTGGTGGCGTCGCACATAGCATAAAATGGTTGGTCTGGATCTGGAATAGTATTTGATATTTGTTCAGTGAAGAGTGTTTTTGTTTCTTCAAATCTTTTGGATGTTCTGTTGTCCATTCAAAATTATTTTGTTGTCTGAGAATATTAAAATATGGTCTTAAATATAATTGCATTTTATAGACGTAATTACTTAAAAAATTTAGCATTCCGAAAAACTCTTGGAATTTCTTTTTTTTTAATGGAAGTTTTAGGATTGTTTCTATGCGAAATTTTAATGGAGTGATTGTATTTCCTTCAATAATATGTCCAAGGAATTTTACACGAGTGAAGAAAAAATGTGAATTGTCTAGGGCTGCTTTCATGTTTTTTTTAAGTAGTTTTCGGTGGTTTCTATCCAATACTTTAAATAATTCGTGTTTTGTTTGTGATTGCATGAAAACATCGTCAAAATAGGTTATGACATTTTTACTGATAACGAGTGGTCAAAAAATTTACTCATAAATGCTGAAAAGGCTGCTGGTCCTATGGAATTCCATAGAAAAGTCTATTAAAATAGTATTGTTGATTTCCAATAACGAATTGTGTTAAGCGTCGTGATTGTTCATCTAGTGACATTTGATTGTATGC